GTTTGCAACCGAAACCGGTTTTGCCCACCCCTTGTAACTCGATGTTTTGATTCCCACCAAACTCCGCAGCAGCCAATACTTACTTACGGGAATCTTGTTCTGACTTGGTGTATTCTCCAAAACATATAAAAAGCGCGACTTTCCGCTCCAATAAGCAAACCCTTTTTACCTTCTTTTCTTCCCTCCATAACAGGAAAAAGTTAGCCTAAATTATCTCTCTTTCTCTCCATCTCTCGTGGTACAGAGCGTTATTGGATGGAGAAGAAGAGTGAAGGACAGGTGGGTCTGCACTTGGACGAAATTATAGAGTCGATGCCCTTGTTTACAAAGGAATTGATTGCCGGAGGTGTTGCTGGTGGGTTTGCCAAGACCGTCGTTGCTCCTCTTGAAAGAGTCAAGATTTTGTTTCAGGTACGGTTACTCCATTAGGGGTTTGATTTGGTCTCCGCTTCTTCCTCGACTTTCTCTGCTTTAATTTCGGTTCTTGTATGTCTGTGCTCGTGGGGTTTTGTTATTGGTTCTTTTTTCCTGATGGGTTGTTTGGAGAAACGAACTTTGAACTTTAGAATGACTTGTTTTGACTGTGGGTGGACTCGAATTTTGGGGTCAAAATCTTTGATTTGGACTGAAATGGGTGTTTAACATTTTAGGTAGCAGAGATGATGCACATTTCTTCACCATATTAATGCAATTGTGATTTCTGTTGATAAGTTCTAGCTCATCTTTAGACTCTGTGAAGTACATCTATTCGGGGTTTGAGAAAAATTCTGCTTGACATTGTTTTGGAATGTGAATTAGTCTGAGCTTAATTCATCAATCGAGTTCATTATATTTTGTTTGCATTCACACAATCGGAGATTGCATTTTACAGAATTTTGGTATTCTACAAGCGCAGTGATTCAATGAATTTTTTCTTTTTGACTTTATTTCATTTCTATAGCATCAGAAGATTCAAAACTTTACAGGTTTAGAATGTTTTTGTGGTTTCCTTGTGCCAGAAACTTGGAACATGTAAGGCTGAAAAGGTAGATTATAGGAGGTCAAAAGAGAATTAATTCATTGCTCATTGCAGACCAGAAGAGATGAATTTAAGAGCATAGGACTGATTGGATCCGTTCAGAAGATTGCAAAGACTGAAGGAATTATGGGTTTCTACAGGTGGATTTTCCTTCCATTGTCCTTCATCTGAAGTAGTTATACACATAAGTTGTCTTCAATGGCTGATTTATATTTTTTGGGATTTGTCTTTAGAGGAAATGGTGCTAGTGTTGCTCGAATTGTTCCCTACGCAGCACTTCATTATATGGCTTATGAAGAATACCGTAGATGGATCATTCTTGGTTTTCCTGATGTTGGGAGAGGGCCTGTTCTTGATCTTGTGGCAGGATCAATTGCTGGTGGAACTGCTGTGCTTTTCACTTATCCTCTTGATTTGGTTCGGACAAAATTGGCTTACCAGGTAAATAACTTCATTATAAATAAATAGGAAACTCAGCCTGGAATATTCTTGAAAATGAAAATACACATTTCATGGAAACTGACACAAGAGGAGCTGGAAGCCACTTGATTCCCACTGAGTATGCATAAAATTGACATGATTTATCAAATAACTTGTAAGATTTGCATATACTGTCGCAGGTTTCACCTAAGATGAATGTTCAAGGGCTACTTAGTGGGGAACAAGTTTACAAAGGAATTTTTGATTGTTTTTCAAAGACTTATAAAGAGTCAGGAGTAAGAGGTCTCTATCGTGGCGTGGGTATGCATTTTGAAAAACTGTTTGTATCAAGCACTGCCATCATTTGTTCCTCAATGCTTACACCCTAGTGGGGTTTTCCGATTAAAATGTTAAAACTTTTGTCAGCTCCATCTCTTTATGGAATCTTTCCATATGCTGGTTTGAAGTTTTACTTCTATGAGGAGATGAAACGACATGTCCCAGAGGAGCACAAGAAAAATTTAATGGTGAAACTGGTATGTGGATCTGTTGCCGGTTTATTGGGCCAAACTTTCACATATCCCCTTGATGTTGTTAGGAGGCAAATGCAGGTAACTTGACTTTTTAGGTTCAAATTAACAGGATTTGAAGTGATCAAGGAGGAATTGGAATTATAATAAATGAAAATTATCTTATCAGGTCCAAAGGCTCTCAGTGTCTCATAATGCAGAGCTGAAGGGAACAAGGGAAACACTTGTTATGATTGCTCGAAAGCAAGGTTGGAAGCAATTATTTTCAGGGCTGAGCATCAACTACTTGAAGGTAAGAAAAGACCCTTTACGTTTGCACACTTCTTATCAAATCATTCATGGTTTTCGTAATCACAATGTGTCTGCATCAGGTTGTACCATCTGTGGCAATTGGTTTTACAGTTTATGATATCATGAAATCATACTTAGGAGTTCCATCCCGTGAGGAAGCTGGGATAGAAGTGGTAACAAATAAGACTAGTGAACAATCATCTTCCCACTCCTAACCATTATTTCCTTGGAAGCAACGTTCTTGCATTAGTTATATACAAGATCATCAGGTGCTTATTTTCGCCTGGCAAATTCATATTTTAAATTGACTCAAATTATTCATGATTTGATCTGATTTGTACATTCTATTTCTTTCAAGTTGTATAATAGGATCTTTATAGGTCAAATGTACAAGACCATAGATTTTTTTAGGAGTTGATCAGATACTAAACTGTATTGATTTGAATAATATTCCAAAGGATCCACATGTGTACTTGAGATGAAAGATAGTAAAATCAATAAAGAATTTGACTGTTCAAATGTATTTACGAAGCGTTCCCAAGTATCGCACGTGGAAGCTGCTAGAAAGTGAAAACAAAATGGAGTTTCTTATGTGAATGAACATCTATTTCATTGTTACAATACAAATGTATGTAGGATACATAAAATCTTCATTTTTTCCAGAAAGTCACAGTTCGATCAGAATTACTTTGGTTTCTTTCATGCAACTATTAATAGCACATGGGAGATGATCGAGCACATAAAGAAAAGCTAACCCTACCAGTAATCCCCACAAGAGCATTTGCCTTCTTTGAAATGATGAAAACGCTTGTTATCCCTAACAATCAGCTCCCTCCCAACTATCTTGGACATAATTTTTATTGCATTGTGGCAGTCACCACAAATCCTCAGATTTTTCATGATCCTGAGAGTGGTCCTTGCTGGAGTACTAATTAGACCATAAGCAATGGCTAGACGCTCGCTATGGTATTGCAAGGCCTGCTCTTTAGCCTCTTGATCAATGTCATGAAGCACATATCTGGTATCAGGCACATATCCTGCTTCTCTCAGCTGCCCATTTAAACCTTTCAGCTTGCCATAAGCCTCTTCCTTGTAAGGGATTGTACAGCGATACTCAAACACCCTATTTTTCTCCTCAATCATGTTTGTTGCAGGATGCTTCTTCCTTGGAGGTGCTGGGAGTTTGTTATCAGTGCTCTTAGACGGATCATTATCAACCAACAATTCCTCTAGACGATCTTCAAGGTCAATATCACCATGGATGCGAGCAAAATTCCTTAGAGCCTCCCAAACTTCTACCATTGGCTCGAATGGCATCTGCTGAATGAATTCTTCAGCTTCATTCAAATGACCAGCTCTCCCATACACATCAATGATCCCTAGATAGTGTTCAATCTCAGGAAAAATTCCATACTCATCCTTCATTGATTTGAAGTGCATCAACCCTTCCTTCACAGCCACTGCACTGGCACATGCAGCAAAAACCGCCTGAAAAGTCTCCTTATCAGGCCGCAGTCCTCCTTTTGTCATTTTATCAAACAACAGCAGCCCGTCGTTCCCTTGCCCATTTGCTGCATACCCATTAATCATCAAATGCCACAAGTTCATACTCCGTTCAGGCATTTTATCAAACACCTTGCGCGCATCTCTAATGCTCCCACATTTCACATACAGGTCAATCAACTTATTGTTCAACTGAGAGTCACTGATAAACGGCGACCTTCTCAAGCACCCATGGACTCTTTTTGTGTCTTCTAAGGACCTCACCTCCCCAAAAAAATCCAATAACGCACTGAAAACACCATAATCAGCAGAGACACCTTGACCCATATACTCCAGAACTTCCTTAACCTTCCCCTCTTTGTACAACCCCATTAAATCAACATTAATATCTGAAGTTGCAGGATTTTTAGATGATGGGCTGTTCTGATTCTGATCATTAGTTTTAGGTCTTGGTCTGTAACGACGATAAACCCTGGTGGAACTCTCGTTGGCATTAGAGGCTGCATGGGTGCATTGAAGCTTGAATCTAGTATGGTTTAGGACAGGCGAAGTTGTTTGGTATAGGTTGAGAGGATGCTTTGTGGTGATTGGCGGTTTCAATTGAGAAGAGAATGGTATGAAGTTTCCGATCCCCTGGAGAGACAGAGACGCCATTGGGCCAAATGCTGCGCAATGGACTTCTTTCCGATTTCATCATACATTCATACTCGGACTCTATGCTCCCAATTAATCTGTCGCTAATCCACACGTGCCAATGCACATTTCCCACTTGTTCTTATGTTTCGGACTGGCATACCCAGAATTACAGTCAGCGTTTTTGTAACATATGTTTTTAAAATACAAATTAAAATGTCAATAGCTAAGTAGTGATCTTTTGGATATGCGGTTAGAATGGGATAAAAGATGTGAAATGATTGTCTCTTATTATGTAATTAAGATAAAAAAAAATATAAATTAAAATATAATTATTATATTTTTTAATATTAATTAGTATTAAAAAATATACAAATTATTATTAATTTTATTATTAATGTTGTATAAAATATTTTTATTAAATATTTATTTAAATAAAAATTAATTTTAATTATTTTAATTCTAATTAATATAAAAATATACAATTATTATACCATTATAAACATCGGTAAAAATCTTTATGTAAATACCCTCTTTGGGTCATGTTATGCCCAAGTAAGGAAATTTTAAAGCCACACAAAAATAATGGAAGTGTAGTTAATTTAATTGTTAGAAATAATTGATAATTATAAATATTAATTAATAATAAATAAAATAATTAATATTTATTATTTTTAATTTAAAATTAACTTATAAATTAATATTTTCAAGCATTTTAGCAGTTAGGTATAAACTAATATAATTAGATAAACAAAATATGTTGACAAGTATTTTGTGTGGCCACAACATGGGCCCCTCTTGGGTTATTGGTTATTTTGAGTGAAGATTGCCAATTCCCAAAAAAGAAAAAAAACGGATCAGGCCCAAGTCATATAAAGAGATCTAACAGGGGTTTTTCTTTTCAAAAAGGGCCGAAGCCCAAAGCAAATTTCAAGACACAAACCATAAATGAGTCCAACTAAACAAGGCAATGTGGAATGGATAATAAAAAAATGGTTTTAGATAAGAATTTGTTTAATCTGTATCATAATGTACAGATTAAAAGTATATTAAATATTTTTTTAATAAATTTATATTAAAAAAATAAAAATCAACTTTTTTTTTTTTTAATATTGGTTGCACAACGAGAGGTAACCCTCTCACATTTTTTATCTTATCCTACCTGCATGTCATGCGACTTGAACTTAGGACCTTCGACTTCCAGCAGAAGTAAATTATCACTAAGTCACTTAAGTCATTGGTAAAAATCAAACTTTAATTTATCAATTATCTAATCAAATTCACTTAATATTAAAACTAATATCAATTTATATATATTTTTATGTATATTTATAATAAAAATAAATAAATACATTCTTATGCTATGCAAGACAGAGGATAGAAAAACCTTTTAGATAATTTATAAAAGTCACTAACTAATTTAGCCTCAATTAATTTACCCACTTATCCATTTTAGCCTCTTTTTCAGTTTCCCCTGTATGTCGGCTATCTGGCTCTACATGTTAATAGACCATTAATTGAACTTCATCTAATTTAGTTTGAAATTATAAAGATATCAGTTGGTCCGTGCAGCTATACATTATATTTTATGCACGTTGGAAAGAGCTGGATACATAACGAGATGTTTCTGATGCATGAACGAAATTATTATTTTTAAGATATTAAAATGTATCCAGAATAAGGTAGAACTTAAAAAACTAAACCCTCTTAAGTGATCGTATGACTAAGGAAAAATTAAGTTATCAGATCTTTCTTGACTCTTTGTATGGTAGGCCAACAAGTGTTTTGTGCATTTTTTTATATTAAATTTTTACTTAAATCTTTTGTTTTTATTTTTTAGTTTAGTGGTCAAAGTATTTTTCAGTTAATTTGCATCCAATTTAGTACTAATTACTTTTTGATTTGATCAAAAGTAAGTTATCTACATTAAGACTAAAAAATTTATAAAAAATTATTTTTTATTAACTTTTTTTAAAAATTAAATTTTAATCAATAGAATAAAAAGTAAACGCCTTTACTAACTAAGTTACAACATTTTATATTTAAAATTTCTATCTTAAAACTTAAAAATTTCATTGTTGACAAGGAAGTGATAGTTATTAAATGATCTCTTTGTTAAAAAAAAAAAATGGTTCTGTAACTCAAAACGAGTATTTTTTTTATTAACTTTTTTATAGGTTTGGTTTTTAATTAGTTTTGTTTAGAAGGTTCTATATCATTTTTTTTTTTTTTGACAGAAACAATGATTAGGAGTTAAAAGTTAGAAGTTAGTATCTTATTTTTTGATAAGATTCAACAACTAATCGGAGTGCATTTCACCAACAACCTTTTTGAGCTGGAGTGGCCACCAATAAACTACAATAAGAGAATGCGGTTCTATATCATATGTTTTCTTCATTTCTTGCCACATATCTCGTCCAATGCGTTAGCTGAATCCTGAATGTACCGAAACCTTTCTAATAGGTTAAACCTACAAATTAGTTCCTAAACTTTTGTATGGAACTTCAAATTGGTCATCTAACTCAAGAATATTCCTTTTTAAGGCCCTCAAGTTTCCTTTTTCAATTTTTTGTCACTCTATTAAAGTTTTGCATAAGTACTACTGTAAATTAACAGAAAACACTTGCACTCGTAATATTAACTGTGTTGGATATGGTGCATCTTTATCAAGGCTAAGACTTTGATTATAATTTTTGTAAAATCAATCTCCCTTCTTCTAAATTCCCTCATGTCCCCCCCCACAAAAAAAAAAAACGGAAAACACTTATTTTTTCTTTTTATAAATTATGTGGAAAATCAACATGATAAAAAAAATAATGATGTGATAAGCGTAAAATTTATTTAATTACATAATTGTCATTGTAATTAATTGAAATTTCTTTAATAACTAAATTATAATTAATAAAATTACTTATTTACCCACAACTCCTCCCTTCTCTCTCCTCCAATCAGCAAAATCCCAAAGGATTTTTGCTCTTGTATCTCTTCTCTTTCTCTAGATTTGCAGTTGAAGGGAAAAGCAAAGACTTCCTCCCTATTATTGTCAACGATCTTGCTTTACCCACCAGCCACAACCATCATAAACATTTAGATTTGGCTTAAATGAGTGGTAGACGGTTTAATTTAGTTCTTTGGTTTTGTTTATTTATGTATATTTCTATTGATCTTTGGATATTATAGTTCACTATGAAATTATATGATCATTTTCATATATTTTAAAAAGTGTTAAATGCATCCATCAAATAAAAAAAGTGTTGAATGTAGAGTTATGTACTCATTTCTTCAAAAAATAACTATTGGTTTTTCGATATCTTACACATGTGAGTGCGATAAATAGAGAGATAATAAAAGTTATTTTTTATTATATAATTTAAAATCAAAAGAAAAAATAATGTATGAATTTAAATTCTAATGGTTTGAAAAAAGCTCTTGTATTTCTCTCTATTGCAGATATACCCTTTACAAACTTGAAATTAGAAAAATAATAATGACTAATGACTAATGTCTAGGAAAAAGATCATCGGGGTTAGTGATTTATAAGAATAATTGGAGTGCCCTTCATCATCAATTCCACTGTTTGTATATTTTCAGGAGGAATTAAAAGGTCCAATGCACTTAAAGCTGCTGCGAAGATTGTAAACAGAACGCCAAATGGAAGCCATGCCTGGAAAGTTAAAACAAGGTGCAACCAAGGACTGCAAAAGATTGATTGGATTATAAATAGAAATGATAAATCCTCCAAAAGAAAATGCCTTCATGATGGTTTGAAAATGAGAATGCATCAGAATGCGAGGATGGTGATTCTAAGGGAAATCACATTTCTTGTTGGTTTAGAAAATGGGTGTGCATCAAAATCTGAGGAGGACCGTGATTCTACAAAGTTTCAGAACCTTATTTGGAAGAAAGAAACTCAAAGCATTTTACACGTTTATTGTTCCTTTTGTTGTCTTTGGATTTGTGAGTTTCATCCCTTGATTCAAAATATTTTGTGAGAATATAGATGAATATCTGCGAATAGGAGGCTAATGTGAAATGGGAATTTTCCAATTTTGTCTTATCAGGTTACAATGGCAACATCAGCTTCTCTACATCCAGTGCAAACGGTTATGGACCTCTCACCTGCACTTTTTGTGAAGATATTAAAGGTATTCTCGGAAGCACATGCATACACATGTTAACAAGAGAATGCTATAATGTAGTCCGCCCTACACAAATTGCATTATTTTAATCATTGATGGATGGATAAGCTTCCAATATTAGGGGCTGTCCCTTTATCAATAATTAAGTAAAATGCAATTCGTATATATAGCCAACTGCACTTTACTTTTTTATGTTTTAACTAAGTCATGACTTTTTGAGCAATCAATATTTTTTCCCCAGGCACTGGTACCGGTGATTTTTAAGGCCATATATGTTGTGGGTGTGAACCACTTGTATGATGTTGAAATAGACAAGGTATTTTAGTAAAATTTGTACACAAACTTATGTGGCTGATTCAAAGTAACTCTGGTGAGGTCAATGCAAATTGCAAATCCTAACATAGCTCTTCATGTTTTTTACTTTATATGTATAGATAAACAAATCATATTTACCTTTAGCTTCTGGTGACTTTCAATGGAAACTGGAATAGCTATTACCGCTGCAGCTGTTTCAATGGTAAGAAACTTTCAGATAAGTCATGACGAGTCTATTAGTTCATTCTATTCTCCATTTAATTTACTGATGATTCTATTTTTCAGAGTTTGGGTATGGCGATTATGTTATCTCCACCTCTTCATTTCAGCCTATTAATTTACTTCCTTATCGGAAGTGCTTACTCAATTGATCTAAATTCTCTACATCCATCTGCCTTTTTAGTTTTAATCATTGATAAAGAGATGTGCCCTTAATATTAAAATGTCCACTTCCTTTATCAAAGGTTAATTAAAATGCAATCCATATAAGGTAGACTGCACTTCACTTTTTTATGAAAAGTAAGTAATGATTAATTTTTTATTTAAAATATACATAATTATAATAAAAGAAAAATCAGAGTTCGAGCTATTCTTTCTATTAATTTAGGAAAACTTCTACCTGTTTCTCTGTGTCAAGTGTCGGGTTGGATTTAATTTGGGTTATCCATATTCCTCTTATAGCTCCCGTTGCTCAGATGGAAGAAATACCCATTTTTGGTGACAACAGGCGTTTGTTGCTCTCCAATTTGGTTGCTTTATACACATCCAGGTACTTTAATTCTTTATTCTATTGTAACCTACCATCATAAGTCAAACATTATATATTATTTCATTCAAAAAGGTTTTACTTAGTCCAATCTAATATAAGTTGCACAATTATAACCACTCATAGGGAGTCTCTTGAATGTAGAGTTTTCATCTTCTAAAATCAATCCTTAATTTATTACAAACCAACTTAAGTCGGACCACAAAATAGCATTCACATTTTCATTTTTCCAATTCTTTCTTAATCTACCTAAGCTGACATATATGAGCAGAAATATGTGCTTGGCAAGCCAATAGCAATTACAAAATCATTGATATTTGTCAATGCTGTCGTGAGCATCATCGCGGTTTTATTTGCACTAGTCAAGGTAACTATTTAAATCAATATTGTTGAAGCTTCAAATGAGTAGATATTAATCCTTAAGTATAACATATAACGGATTGTTATGACTTTCTTCATTTGGTCTTTAACATGATATTTCTGATGTGGAAGGTGACAGCTTTTGGCGTTCAAACACTTGGCGTCAAACTAGGGAAAGAAAATGTACATAAACTAAGATTGAAATGCTACTTTATATTGCTACATCACCTTCATTTCTATTTATCATTCTTGAGTGAAATTGTATGTTGATTAACATTTTTTTTTCTCTAATTGCAAGGTGTTCTGGCTTAGTGTGAAAAGTTTGATAATGGCATATGGAGCTGCCATGGTGGTAGGAGCTACTTCATCACCCCTTATAAGCAGGCTTATCATCGTATGTATAAGATCATTTCAACATACATTAATTCTAAGGAAAAACATACACACCCCATCAATTCCTAGGCTTTGGGACAAATATTGTCATTTAGTTTGAGGGTTTTTTTTTTTTAATAGTTTAATTAAGAAATATCATCTCCTCCTAACCAAAGAAAGTATGGAATCATAAGTTTCTAGCTCATAACCGAACATATAACGAAGGCAAAATTTTCAAAAATAATGTAAATTGAGGCATCTTTGTATCATTGCTCAACAGACAAGAAGTAATTCTACTCTTTATTCTCCCCAATGCTGACTGGGGACAGAAAGATGCTATCAAAAACATTAACATAACCACTAAGGAATCAAACATTGGTGACCAAAACCAACCAACCAATGAAGTCCCTAGAGACACATTCCTTTGCAACCCTACCTCAGAAGTAAAAATGAAGCAGTTTGCGGTTCTAACCCTAACATCAAAACCGTTATTATATATGTATGGATACATGTTCATCGTTATCACCAAAGATAACAATGATATCCTCAAATTATTGATACTGTATGCTAAACCCTTAGCAAGACTAGTGATTAAACGATAAAAGAAGGTGGATTGCAAAATATAAACCATTGAATGGAGAATCGACCCTTCATATTGGGTGCTATCCCATTCAATAGTTCCTATTTAGCTATCCAGTATAGTTTGTGCTGGAAAATATGGAGCTTTAAATGATATAATCAGACCACTCAGACATGAAGGAAGTATGATCCATGGACTCTCCGGCGCATTCTTCAAGCCTGGAGGGCTTTTCCTTCCCTCCGACCAGCCTAGCCGGGTTCCCCACCGCGGTGGTCCGGGCTGGGACTTCTATCAGCACCACAGACCCTGCTCCAATTTTTGCTCCTTCCCCAATCTTCACGTTCCCCAATATTGTCGCAGCAGCACCAATCAGCACTCCGTCCCCAATCTTCGGATGTCGATCACCGGATACCTTCCCAGTCCCACCCAGAGTCACATGATGCAGAATCGAGACGTTGTTCCCGATCACAGCCGTCTCGCCGATTACCACCCCGGTTGCGTGGTCAAACAAAATCCCTTTCCCGATCTTCGCCGCCGGGTGGATATCAACGGCAAAAACTTCCGAGACACGGGACTGCAACGCTAGAGCCAGCGGCCGGCGTGATTGTGTCCATAGCTTGTGAGCTAATCGATGAGCCTAAACAGATTAAATCAACAAATTCACACTCCCAAAAAAAAAAAAAAAACACAATGGAATCAAATTAATTACTAAATTCAGAACAAATTTTACCTGGCAAGCCAAGAATCCCTTGTAATTCAGCAGACAATGAGAGAAGGAAGCGCAAGCAGGATCCTTCATACGAGCAGCACGGAGATCTGCAACCGCAGCGGCACAAAGGGAAGGGTCGGAGGAGAAGGTATTGATAAACAGATCATAGAGGAGAGTCGACAACAGTGTAGATGAACAGAGCTTGTTGCCCAGATGGAAGGAGAGCGAGCGCGAGAGCGAGGAGTGAGAGAGGATCGTGGAATAGAGGTAGCTGGCTAAAGCCGGCTCCGACTCCGCGTCACGGCGAGCCTCGGCCTTTATCTGAGACCAGACCCACGCCTCGTCGTCCTCAGAGTACGTAACCCCCACATCTTTCGGCGGAGTTGGCTGCCGAAGTTCACCTCCCAGCATCGCTGCAGTTTTGTAGGGGTGGCGTCACGATGTCAAGAACACGCGACGAGGCGCACGAAAGTAAAAATACGTTATGGACCTTGCGGTGAGACGGACGAAATTAGAGAGCAGAAAGTTTTCGATAATTTTCAACAGCTGTCGTTTGAACACGTGGGAAGAAATCCAAGTAAGAAATTATAGTTTCTTCGTTGGATCTCGATCGTTGAATTAAATCCGTTTTGAAAAAAAAACAAACGAACTTCTAGACCTGGTAATTTTCATGATGACATTTTCAACAAATTTTGAAACAGACATTACCCTAATACCATTAAATTATATAAATTTTTTTTAAAAATTTATACTAATTTTAAGGTTTTTTTTTATTATATCCAATACTCACATTAAATTTTAATTA